TTTTTTTTTTTAACATTTTTTTTCCACTTTGCGTCACGTTTTCGGGAGAAAAAGAGATAAAAAAAAAAGGACTATGAGGGCAGGAGGGGGTTGGGCGCAATGGGACCCACTGGGACCCTATGGGGGTGGGGTCAGGGTGGCCCTTGGGGTGCTGGGGGCACCCATTGGTGATGCCTGGGGTGGCCATCTCATTGGGGTGCCCACCTGGGGTCCTTTGGGTGCCCATTCCGGATGGGTGGGGTCCCTACACCATTTAGGGTGCATTGGGTGCCCACCTGAGATCTTTGGGGCACCCATCCATGACGCCTGGGGTGCCCATCTCATTGGGGTGCCCATCTGGGGTCCTTTGGGTGCCCATTTGGGATGGGTGGGGTCCCTACCCCATCAAGGTGTGCACTGGGTGCCCACCTGAGATCTCTGGAGCACCCATCCATGACACCTGGGGTGCCCATCTCATTGGGGTGCCTACCTGGGGTCCTTTATTGCCCATTTAGGATGGGTGGGGTCCCTACACCATTTAGGGTGCATTGGGTGCCCACCTGAGATCTTCAGGCCACCCATCGATGGCTCCTGGTGTGCCCATCTCATCGGGGTGCCCTTTCGGTGGTGCCCTTTGGGTTCTCCTGGTTGCCCACCGACCTGACCACCACCCACCCCCGCATGGTGGCCGTGCCCCCTTCTCTCCCCACAGAGCTCCAAGCTGCTGTGGAGGAGGTTCTCCCAGACCTTCAGCGCGACGGCATCCGCGTCTTCTACCTCAGCTCCACCTCGCCCACGCCGGGGGTGGAAGCCCTGCTGCCCGCCATCGAGAAGACCTCTGACGAACCCCTCCCCGCCCACCACCGCGCCGGCATCACCGCCGACTCCAAAGCCATCTACATCTACACCTCCGGCACCACCGGTGAGGCCATGGGGACGGAAAGCCCAAAGGCAGGAACATCTGGGAGGGTTTGGGTGCCATGGGTTGACGAGCCATGGGTTGTCCTCCATGGGTGGTGTGGCCACGATGGCACAGGTGATGGTGGGGAGGTTGGAGGAGTCTTCTGGAGGCCTTTCTCCAAGTCCCACCACTGTGGGGCCACCTGGGCCAGGTTCCTCCTGGCTGCGTCTGTGCGAGAGTTGGGTGTCTCCAAGGATGGAGACCCACCATGTCAATGGGGCTGTCCTCCTTGTGATTGGGTGGGGTGGGACCTCCCGCATCCAACCCTGACCCCAAACCAGGTCCTGGTTGAGGTTCCTCATGGCTCCTCCCAACGAGGGCTGGAGACCTGTAGGGATGGAGACCCACCATGTCCCTGGGGCTGTCCTCATTGGGATGGAATGCGGTGGGGTGGGACCTCCTGCATCCAACCCCAAACCCAAATCAGATCCCACCCCAACCAACACAGGTGCATCTGGATGAGGTTTCTCACAGCTCCTCCCAACGAGGTCTGGAGACCTCTAGGGATGGAGACCCACCACCCTGTGGGAAGGGTTTTGCCCTCCCACCTCCATGGAGGTAATTTCCCACCTTCTGCTCCCCCCCCGTCCCTACCCGCAGGGTTGCCCAAGGCAGCGGTGATTACCGAGCTGAAGCTGATGATGGTGGCCAACCTGGGGCGCCTCTGCGGCCTGCGACCCGATGATGTCGTCTACACCACGCTACCGCTCTACCACTCGGCCGGGCTGCTCATCGGGGTGGGCGGGTGCTTCGAGGTCGGTACGTACCCCATCCCTGTCCCCCCTCAGCCCCACGGATGGATGGAGGGATGGATGGATGGGTGGAGGATGGAGCCGTGTCCATCCATGGGTGAAGGACAGACAGACAAGATGGGCGGATGTTGTAAATGGATGGAGAGTCGATTAATGGAGACGGGTGGACGGACAGATGTTTCATGGAGATGGATGGATGGATGTTTTACAGACAGATGTTTCACAGAGATGGACGGATGGGCAGATGTTTCATGGGGCTGGATGGACAGATGTTTTATGGAGAGCAATGGATGGACAGTTGTTTTATGGAGACAGACGTTTCATGGAGACAGATGTTTAATGGAGATGGATGCACAGATGTTTCATGGAGATGATGCTTTATGGAGATGGACGTTTCATGGAGATGGGTGGGCAGATGTTTTATGGAGACAGATGTTTCATGGAGATGGACACGTTTTATGGAGAGGGATGTATGGTCAGATGTTTCACAGAGATGTTTTACGGAGATGGATGGACAGTTTTATGGAGACAGATTTTTATGGGGATGCTGGATGGACAGATGTTTTATGGAGATGACAGATGGACAGATACTTTATGGAGACAGATGTTTCATGGAGATGATGGAGGGACAGATGCTTTGTGGAGATCAATGGATGGACAGATGTTTTATGGTGATAAATGTTTTGTGGAGATGGTGGATGGAGAGATTTTTCATGGAGATGGACAGACGGATAGATATTTTATGGAGACAGATGTTTCATGGAGATGGATGGACAGATGTTTTGTGGAGATCAATGGATGGGCAGATGTTTTATGGTGATAGATGTTTCATGGAGATGGATGTTTTATGGAGATGGTGGATGGACAGATGTTTCATGCAGATGGATGGACAGATGTTTCATGGAGACAGATGTTTCATGGAGATGGATGGACAGATGTTTTGTGGCGATCAGTGGATGGACAGATGTTTTATGAAGATGGATGGACAGATGTTTCGTGGAGATGGACACATGGATAGAAGTTTTATGGAGACAGATGTTTCATGGAGATGGATAGATGCTTTATGGAGATGATGTAGGGACAGATGTTTTATGGAGACATATTTGTGGAAATGGATGGACAGATGTTTCATGGAGATGGACACATGGATAGATGTTTTATGGAGACAGATATTTGTGGAAATGGATGGACAGATGTTTCATGGAGATGACAGATGGACAGCTGTTTTGTGGAGATCAATGGACAGACAGATGTTTCATGGAGATGGATGTTTCATGGAGACGGATGCATGGACAGATGTTTTACAGAGACAGACATTTTACGCAGATCTTGGATGGACAGATGTTTCACGAGATGGATGTTTCATAGAGAAGGATGGAGGGACAGATGTTTTATGGGACAGCTGTTTTATGGAGACGGTGGACGGCAAGGTGGAAACATGAGGCTGGAGGGATGGAGACGAGAGGAGAAAAGGCAAAAGCTCTCCGGAGCGCTAAACAGATGAGGGTCGGGGGGGACATGGGTGGCTCAACAGATGGACGGATGATGAAGAGCGTAGGGGTGGAAGAGGAGAGAAGATGAGAAGAAGATGGAAATGGAGAAGGGCCTCCACGTAGATAATGGGTGACCTGGAGGGGGGGAATGGACCAGGACCAGGACCAGGACAGATTCTCATGGGGATGGAGGGATGGAGGGATGGAGGGATGGAGGGATGGAGGGATGGAGGGATGGGAAGGGTAACCACGCCCCTACCACGTCCCCACAGGAGCCACCTGCGTCCTACGGGCCAAATTCTCCGCCTCCCAGTTCTGGGATGACTGTCGCCGCTACAACGTCACTGTCATCCAATATGTGGGCGAACTCATGCGCTACCTCTGCAACACACCCAAGGTAAGGTCCCCACCAGCCCCAAATCCACCCCAGAGTTGGGGTGGGGGAAGAAAGCGGCGATGCTGTGGGGCTCACCCTGAGATGGTCCCTCCTTTTGTCACCCCACAGCGCCCCGATGACCGGGAACATGGGGTACGCTTGGCCTTGGGCAACGGTCTTCGGGCAGAAGTGTGGAAGGAGTTCCTCCAGCGCTTCGGCCCCATCTCCATCTGGGAATTTTATGGGGCCACCGAGGGCAACGCCGGCTTCATCAACTACACCGGCAAGATCGGAGCTGTGGGTAGAGCCAACGTGTTCCTCAAGGTGAGCCACCGGTGACGATGATGATGGTGGGGAAGCAAACACCTCGAGGAGACCCATCCTTGTCCCTCAAGTTGGGTTGATGCCAAGAGCGGGGAGTGGGGCGGCTCCAGGATAAGCGTCTTCAAGGTGACACAAACAATGACCACCCCAGGGGGAAGCCAACATTGTCCCCCTTCTTCACATCCAAAAGAAGTCCCCCTTCCACCTGGCTGGCCAACGTCGACTCCAAATAAATCTAGTTTTGGAGCATCCACAGTGATCTGGACGTCTTCGGTGTCACTTCTTGGTCCTCGGTCGCCCACGCGTGGAGCAAAAGTTGCAAAAAATATGGTTTTTCTCCACTTTTTATCCCTCCACCTTCTCCCACTTTTTTTTTTTTTTTTTTTTGGCCTGGGGTCAAGAGATCATGCTGAGCTTGGTCCACGGATGGAAGACGAACAGCCACCCAGGATGTCAGGATGGACTACCGGAAAGAAAGTCATCGCGCTCTTCTTAATCCTGCAGTTTCTGCTTCCACCCATGGGATTTTTCTCGTTGTCTTTCTTCTGCCCTCCAGAGTTTCGCTCCCTTTGAGCTCATCAAGTACAACGTGGAGGAGGACGAACCCATCCGAGACGAACGAGGTCTCTGCATGAGAGTCAGTCCCGGTAAGAAGAGAGATGAACCTTTAGGAGGGCTTTTTTGGGGAGGAAAAATGGGGCAGGTAAAGGGTTGAGATGCTTCAAAGCCACCTCTTGGTCCTTATCGCCATCATCCTGGTAGTTGGAAACCACCAGAAACCCCTCAAAGAAACACCTGAGCACCCAGTGGGGAACGGAGGTGACATTCCTCCAACATCAAGGCAGTTGTTGACCGGTCTCCAACCCTCCTTTCCCTCCCCGAAGGTGAGACGGGGCTGTTGGTCATCAAAATCACCAAGAACACCCCTTTCCACGGCTACGCGGGTGATTCCCAGAAGACGGAGAAGAAGGTCTTGAGGAACGTCTTGGTCAAAGGCGACGCTTTCTTTAACAGCGGTGACCTCCTCATGATGGATCATGAAAGATTCATCTACTTCCAGGATCGCGTGGGAGACACTTTCCGGTAAGTCTGATGGCACTCCCATCCACGTCTGCGTGGGCGATGTCCACCTCCCAACCCAAAATTCCTTCTCACGCCTTCATCCCTTCTCTTCCTTAGTTGGAAAGGTGAGAACGTGGCCACCACAGAGGTGGAGGCCACTCTTGCTATGGTAGACTTCATCCAGGAGGTCAACGTCTACGGAGTGGCCGTGCCGGGTGAGTAGTGGGTGGTGTTGGGGTGTGACTTGGACCAAAATAAGAACCTGGTGATGTTTCAGCCATGGGACATGTCCCCAAATGATCTGAGAGGCCACCAAGAAACCTAAAGTAGAACAGAATGGAAGGGACCTACAACGATCATCTAATCCAACTGTCCGACCGCTTCAGGACTCGTTGACCCAAAATAATGAGTCCGGTATTGTTTGGGCCTCACGATTACTGCCATGATGGTGCAAAAAGCCACCAAGAAGAGTAACACAGGACGTGGTCACCCAAAAGAAGCATCTGGTGCTGTTTGGGGCAAGTAATATGTCCACATAATGGTCCAACTGACCACCAAGAAGAGTAAAACAGGACTTGGTTGCCCAAAAGAAGCATCCAGTGGCATCTGGGGCCAGTAATACACCCATGTAATGGTCCAACTGACAACCAAGAAGAGTAAAACAGGACCTGGTTGCCCAACAGAAGAATCTGGTGGTGTTTGGGGCAAGTAATACGTCCACCTAATGGTCCAACTGACCACCAAGAAGAGTAAAACAGGACTTCGTTGCCCAACAGAAGCATCTGGTGGTGTCTGGGGCAAGTAATATGCCCACGTAATGGTCCAAATGGCCACCAAGAAGAGTAAAACATGACTTGGTTGCCCAAAAGAAGCATCCAGTAGTGTTTGAGGCAAGTAATACATCCACCTAATGGTCCAACTGACAACCAAGAAGAGTAAAACAGGACTTCGTTGCCCAACAGAAGCATCTGGTGCTGTTTGGGGCAAGTAATACGTCCACCTAATGGCCCAACTGACCACCAAGAAGGCTCAAGTAGGACTTACTGACCCAAAAGAGGTTTCTGGCATAGCTTTGGCACACAACGGGCTCCTGTAAAGGTCTGATTGGTCACCAGAAAGGTTAAAAGGAGACATGGTTGCCCAAACTAAGTGTCCAGAGTCGTTTCGGGCATGCGATGTGGCCCTGCAATGGGCCAAGTAGCCACAAAGGAAAGTAAAATGGGACTCGGTTGCCCAAAAGCACCACCTGGTGGTGTTTTGGGCAACTGACGTGTCTCCATGATGGTCCACGTGGCCATCAAGAAGAGTAAAAGGGGACTCGGTTGCCAAAAATAAGCGGCTGTTATCATTTTGGGCACACAGGTGGCTCCTGTAATGGTCCAAGTGGCCACAAAAGAGGCCAAAATGGGAAATATTCACCCAAAATAAGCATCCAGCTTTGGTTTGGGTACGAGGTGCCTCCACCATGATCCCAATGGCCTCCAAGAAAGCGAAAGCGGGACGAATCCACCCAAAACGAGTACCCAATGTCATCCCAGGTCCCCCAAACCATCCAAGCGGCCACCGAGAAGAAGAAACCGAGATTCGGTTTGCCCCAAAATAACCCTCCGGCGTCGTTTGCAGGTTGCGAGGGAAGATGCGGCATGGCGGCCATCCGCCTGAAGACCGGGACCAAATTTGAGGGCCAGAACCTCTACGCCTTCACCGGGGACACGTTGCCCGCCTACGCCGCCCCCCGCTTCGTGCGCATCCAGGTCAGCGGTCCCAGTTTCACCCAGGCGGTGGGGTGGGGTGGGGGGTGGCTTCTGGGGGGGACCCCCTGACCAGTTCCCGATGACAGCACCAGTCAGCCTGTGGCAGTAATGGCGCTGGGGCCTGGTGACAGTGCCACCCTGTCATCGACGGCACTCTCTGTCCATTTCTGGAGACGGTGATGGTCACCCAATATCAATGACAACATCGGGGTCACCACGTGCCAACGATGGCGTCGGTCCACCTTCCCGATGACGGCGCCAAGGTCCCTCCTTTTTCAAGACAGCGGTGGTCACCTTGTGCCAACAGGTGGCCATGCTGTGCCAAGGGATGGTCATCCCGTGCCAATGGTGGCCACTCCGTGCCACACCATGCCAATCGGTGGTCATCCTGTGCCACCCCATACAAACAGGTGGTCATCCTGTGCCAATGGTGGCCATCCTGTGCCACCTCATGCCAACAGGTGGTGACACTGTGCCAACGGGTGGCCAGCCCGTGCCACCCCATGCCAATGGGTGGCCCCCCTGTGCCAACTGGTGGCCATCCTACGCCACCCCATGCCAATAGGTGGCCACCCCATGCCAAACCATGCCAACAGCTGGTCATCCTGTGCCAAGCAGTGGCCCCCCTGTGCCAAAAGGTGGCCATCCTGTGCCATCCCATGCCAACAGGCGGTCATCCCGTGCCAACGGGTGGTCATACTGTGCCACCCCATGCCAATGGGTGGACATCCTATGGTAATGGTGGCCACCCCATGCCAACGGGGGTCATCCCGCACCAATGGTGGTCACCCCGTGCCACCCTATGCCAACAGGTGGTCACCCCATGCCAAAGGGTGGCCACCCTGTGACACTGGGTGGTCATCCAGTGCTAATGGTGGCCAACCTGTGCCACCCCATGCCAACAGGTGGCCATCCTGTGCCACCCCATGCCAACAGGTGGCCATCCTGTGCCAATAGTGGCCATCCCATACCACCCCATGCCAACAGGTGGCCATCCTGTGCCAATAGTGGCCATCCCATACCACCCCATGCCAATGGGTGGCCATCCCATGCCACCCTATGCCAACAAGTGGCCATCCCGTGCCAACGGGTGGCCATCCTGTGCCAATAGTGGCCATCCCATACCACCCCATGCCAATGGGTGGCCATCCCATGCCACCCTATGCCAACAAGTGGCCATCCCGTGCCAACGGGTGGCCACCATGTGCCACCCCATGCCAACATGTGCTCATCCTGTGCCCCTCCATACCATTGGGTGGTCATCCTATGCCAACAGGTGGCCACCCCATGCCAACAGTGGCCATCCTGTGCCACCTCATGCCAACAGGCGGTTACCCCGTGCTACCCCATGCCAACGGGTGGCCACTCCGTGCCAACATCACCATACTGGTCCCCCCAATTCCGATGACACCTCCTGCACCGATGACTCAAGGGTCACCATTTCCAATGATGGTCCCCCCCCACCCTGTGCCGATGACAGCGTCAGTCCCCCACGTTGCCCGTGCCAGCGCTGGGGTGCCCCATTTCTCACGACGGTCCCCATCACCCCACCGCCGACACCGTTTCTGGTGACACCCTCCATCTCCACAGGACGCCCTGGAGATCACGGGGACCTTCAAGCAGTGCAAAGGCAACTTGGTCAAAGAAGGCTTTGACCCCAACGTCATCAAAGACCCCCTCTTCTTCCGCGACGACAAGAAAAAGTCCTATGTGCCCTTGAACCCCACCACCTACGCCGCCATCATGGACATGAAGCTCAACCTGTAGAAGAAGCAGCCACGCCGTGGTCTCCACCACGGGGCGATAATTGCCCACGGGGCGATTGGGCAAAGCCAATTTGGGGCTAATCACTTCCTGGAGGGGGAGGAGGGGGGAGTTTTAATAATGCAGACAGAGCGTGACGAGGGTGACGGGCTGGTCTCGGCGCTCGTTAGCCCACCCCAGCGCCCGCGTGCCATGCCGGCTGTGGAAATTAAAGGTTGAATTCCAATTATTTATGTCCGGATGGGCGTCGAAAGGGCATTTTTTTGGGGGACCGATCCGCTTGTTTTCCCTTCCGGAACGGGGAAAACGGTGCCTGAAAATCCTCCCCGCTGCTGGGAAGGGAACATTTGCGCCGGTGGGACCTCTATTCTCTTCCCACCCTGAGCTCGTTGAGCCGCTTTAGCTCCCCAACACACGACCGAACCGATTTATTTTGCTCCCATCCATTTTTCCACCCGCTCAACCACATAAACTGCCACAGGAAGACAACCCGGCTTGCCGTATCCATCGCATTCCGCCCCTACATCACGACGCACGTCATGATAGCTTCTTCCAACCCTTCCCCAACGCTCAACCGACGCAAGAAGGAGCTTAATTTCTCCTCCTGTGGCCGCGTTCTGCCGACTCGGTGAGCAAATCCGGGGCGGATCTGCCGTCGCCTTTTCCCAACTGCGAACCAAACCCGTCAATATTTTCATTAAAAAAAAAGGCAAAATCGTTTATTTACAAACCTTCCCGGCCACATGGGAGGCGGGGAAAAGAAGGTGAGCATCGCGACACCTTCACTCGCCGTCGAGCAGCCCCGGCGCCCGCGTGCCATGCCGGCTGCGGAAATTAAAAGGTTGAATTCCAATTATTCGGGTCCGGATGGGCCTCAAAGGGGCATTTTTTGTGGACCAATCCGCTCGTTTTCCCTTCCGGAACAGGGAAAACGGTGCCTAAAAATCCCGTCTTGCCGTATCCATCGCATTCCGCCACTATGTCACGTCGCACGTCACAATAGCTTCTTCCAACCCTTCCCCAACGCTCAACCGACGCAAAAACGAGCTTAATTTCTCCTCCCGTGGCCGCGTTCTGCCGACTCGGTGAGCAAATCCGGGGCGGATCTGCTGTTGCCCTTACCCAACTGCGAACTAAACCTGTCGATATTTTTCATTAAAAAAAAGGCATAAATCGTTTATTTACAAACCAGTGCGGCCGAGGAAAAGTGGGCGAGCGTCGCGTCGCCTTCACTCGCCGCCCTCATCGAGCAGCCGCGGCGGCGGCTTTTCTTTCGGAAGCCGTCGTATTTCCAAGGGGAGCCGACGTTCCCGTTGGAGTTCGCCCACGCGGAGGCGGAGGCGTTGTTCCCGTCTTTTACAAGCTTGAAGTTGCCGTTGGGTTTTATCCAAAGCATCCAGAGCGGCTTCGGCGCGTCGTTTCCAAAGCAAAGCGCTTCCCACTTGATAACTGTGCTCGTTTTGGATGTACGCTCCGGCCGGCGGCGGTAAACGTAACATATAAAGCGAAGGTGAAACGGGTCTGGGGGGCGCCGGGGGATTATTTGGGGGAAAATTAGAAGTCGTCGACGCTTCTTCGTCTTCCGAAAGGTTATCCGTAAGGGAACCGCGAGCGCCCGATGGACCTGGAAGAGCCGGAACGCCTCCGTGATCACCGGCCGGAGGAGCAGCGGAGTCTTCGCTTTCGCGGGGGAAACAGGAGACGTCGGCGGAGAAATGGGGGTCCGGTGGGGAAGGAGTGGGGTCCCGCCTGCGGGAGAGGTTAATTTGGGTGGGGGGGGGGGGACACCGGTA